ACTAGAGATAACCACTGTAGGACCTCTTTCCCCTTTGATGCCAGGAGGTTTGTTTTGCACTCTCTATTGCCAGCAAGGAGTGGCCCTCTTCTTCCAACAGATTTCTGTGATAAAGGCTGGTAAAAAGGAATGTGGAATGGGGTGTTTTGAGAGGGCAGTGATTCAAACTGGATAGAATGACTGTTCACTACCATGTCCAGGACCCACTGCTCTAAGGTGGGCCCATGCAAGGTAAAAGTTGGCCAAACAATTCTAGAAAAGTAGGCAGGGAGACAGGTACCCTGTACTGCCAATCCCACCACCAAACAGGGCAGATCATCAATGGGTTGAGAAGCAAGGTGCAGTGGGGCACATCTGTCAGTGGGACCACTGTCGTTTTCTTCAGGGCTCCTTTCAGGCAAAGGCAATCTGCTCTGGTGGCACAGCAGCATATGCTGTTGGGAAGGACCCTCTCCTCTGCAAAGTGTATAGATCATATTTGATATAGCACTGAGGAGGGAGGGGGAGCAGTCGCAAAGAACAGAACAGGGCTTTAGGTTTTTTAAAGGAGTACACAGTCTCATCTCTCTCAGAGCTAAATAGAAGTCCTAACATGAAAAGCAGGTTCTATACAACAGCCTGGACCTCCTTCAGGAAACCAGAACCCTGTAACCCAGAAGATCTACACCTCCTAACCACAGAAAGCCATGGATCTGCCTGCACTATCAGCTGAATCCAGAGCCACCTGAAAGACCCCCTTCACCTTTGTGATCTCTGATCTGTCCCTTCATGATCAGAGATCTCAAATTTCTCTCTTACCAGGGACAAGTAAAACTAAAAGAAAAGACTCTCACTCTTCCTAAGGCTTAAGTCACTAGGACACATGGGGTGTTTATACATGTACTGGGGCAAGGGGCGGGGGGGCTTCTTTAATTAAAGTGACTCTGAGACCTGCTCTAATTAGTGTGCAGTGTCTCGTGCATCAGTGTCCCCGCGCTTAAAAGTGGCCATGGGGGTGCTTTAACTAAAGCTCATTCAACAAGTTTTAGTTAATGTGTCCCCGCTGCCATTTTTCAGCATGGGGACACTGATACATGAGAAGCTGGAGTCTGTGGAGCGCAGTAATTACCATGCTCCAGCAGACTCGATTAATCGAGTCTGCTCTGATGCACTGTAATTACAATGCATCAGAGCAGCCTTGCTGCTTGCATACAGGCACCCACTGTGCTCTGTCTCTAGCTAGGCACTTCAGCAGACGTGAGCAGCAGGAAGTGAGCACTGTCCTTTCCCCTTGGTGCAGGGGTACAAAGATAGGCAGCCAAGGGCATACTTTATGGATTCTCCAAAGGTTAAAATGTCTCCAGCCAAAGCACAGGACATGACACACACTCCACAAATGAGAATATGGATGTGGGCAATTACTTAAAGAAAAACATGTAGTTGAGATAGTCCCTGAACAGCTTATAGCCTAGCTAAACAAAACAATATATGCATACAGAGCATAAGTAACTTGTCCAAGGTCACAAAACATGTCACCAGCATAGCCATGAATAGTAACCAGCTCTTCTCATTTCAAGTCCAGTGTCCCAGTCACTAAGTCATGGTATCTCCCAATCATGTAAGTAATAAAATTAGAAACAAATACAGCTTAGAGGTGGAAAACATCTAAAAGGGACTTGCTCTCTCAATAGAACAGACATATGAATAGCAAAAATGGCAAAATGGCTGGTACCCTCCCTCAGCTAATTATAAATGGTAGTTGACAACCTCCAAGTATTAGATTTGTCAGTCACATCATTAAGGGTAGAAAACAAACTGCTCCACAAGCCCTTCTGTGGGGCTTTACAAGATGGGGGTATTAAACCAGAAAGAAAACACTCAACCTAATTGAAATTCAGTGTTTGTTTGCTGTGTGGTGATTGTATAAACACACTACAAATCCAATAGCACAGCTCAATGTGGGATGTAAAATACTGTAGTATATAAGAGTAATATCTGAATATATTCCTCAATAAAAAGTAATTGAAAGTGATTCTCTTGCAACAGAAGTATTATTATTGATCTATGTTTACTGCATCTATAGCACCGGTGATTTTAGTTTTGCTTATGAGATATTTGTTTTTTCAGGAAATCTTAGTATGACTACTAGAAGACAGTAACAATTTCTATCTCCTTCACAGCAGTGATATTTTTTAAAAAATCAGTCATCATATGGTCAATAAAAATGAAATAGCAGGAGTGTAGATGTGAATACATCTGTAGAGATGATAAACTAAATCACAAGAAACATGCAGTATTCTAAAAAATGTAATCAGAAGCACAAATCTGCTAATGATTTAAAAATATGGCTTCAGTGAAGAAAACTCTTTGTTCACTGTCTTGCTCTAGCCCAAATATGTTTAAAAATGTTAAATTTATAAAGTCAACCACTCAAAATTTAGGAAATGCTAGAATACAGGTTGCTCGTGCAACCTGAACTCAGACCCTGTGGCTGTGTCTACACGTGCAGAGGACTGCGCAGTTAGTACGTCCTTAAGCATAAGCAATTACTAAATGTGCAATAACTGGTATTAATATGCAGTACCATTGCCGCACATTTTTTTCCCCTGAGCTACTGTGCAGTAGCTCATTACTACTGTGCAGTAGCATTGTGTCATGGTTAGTGAACGGCAATGCTACTGTGTGGTAGCAACAAGCTATGGCACAGTAGCTCATTGCTACTGCGCCGTGGCATCTCATGTAGATACACCCTATGTGCATTATGATACAGACTTTAATTACAGGATCCCATATGATACTTTTCTGACTCATTTATTATACAGAATTAATTACTACTAACTGAGCAGTTATTCTATATTCTTTTATGCTGTTACATTATTTCCTGTACAACACCCAAATTTTACACAGAATACAAAACTATTATTTTTTTAGTTGCAGTTATGCAACTGAGTTGCATGAAAGTAAAATAGGATTTAATCCAAAATGTCCACAAAATGTGCACTTCAATGGCCCAGCTGAGGGTTCAACATTGGCACTGGACCCTAGGACAGCTGGGCTACTAGGTCCCATTTCCATAAGGGGCAACAAACTGAGGCCTCATTCTCAGGAAGTATACTAAGAGACCAAGGAAAGATACAGTGCTGCGGCTTACTCACAGCAAGGGACGTGTGGCAGGACTCAAATTCAGCAACCTGGTGAATGTCCAGTGGGTGAGCACTAACAGAGCAGAACTCACCACAATAAGGGTAAAGCTTGCCTGTGTGGGAGACATAACTTTCCAGGGGTCTGCTCCAAAACTGGAATGAATTCCCAAGGAAATAAAGACAATCACAAACTTCATCTGCTTCCACTCAAAGTGCATTTTTAAAAGCTTGTCTTCCTTAATGTTATCACACAGCAACCTGCATATTAACTTGCATGTAAATTAAGAGAAAAAACCAAAACCAAAACCAAAACACCCCCCTTAGCAAAACAGGATGCTTCATTGTACATGCTTCTCCCACTGGGGAACGGATAAAAGAACAAACATGTGACACGTTAGTCACATTACTCTATGTAATGTCAGGTCAGGACATTCAGATGATGGAGAAGAACATGAGATAAGAATCAATACAGAAAAAGAATTCAGCATCTGAGTCCTACAAACATTGATCAATTTATTTGCACTACACTTCACTGAGCTGAGGGCCTATTTACTATCTCATTTTATATGGGGAATGGAATCTCAGAGCAATTAAATACGAAAGTGTCAACTAATTCTTAGCACCCTATTTGAGACTCCTGGGACCTTATTTCTTTGACTGCCTAGGATTATGTCACATTTGATGTGTTCAAAACCCAGCTCCTATTGATTTCAACTGCAGCTATAAGTACTCAGCTTTTCTCTAAATCAAGCCCTGGAGTCTTACGTCTAGCAGCCAAAAAACAAAGAGACAGAATGACCACCTGTGAAAAGTTTGGGTTCACTGACTTGCTCCTCTTCACATGGAACTCTGTGTCAGGTACCGGGATGGAAGACAATTCTCCAGGGCAGTAATCAGACACCTTAACTAAGAATCTCTCCTTTCTCCTCCTGCAATTCACTGCTTCATTCCCCACAAATCTTTTAATTTCAAACCAAACAAACTACCACCACCCTTATTTCTGACTCCTGTCCCAAATGCAGCCCACTCTGTACAGTGGAGGAAGCAGGTATTCCAAGGAGACAACCAAAGGCTCATCCTTGTCACAAAGAAAACCCCTCTGACATGTTCCTGCCCCAAATCATGGAGACACTACAGTTTTCCAAGTTTCTCAATCAAAAGTTTATAAGGGTTTGGGTTTTTTTACACATGCCTGTGTAAACAATTAATTTTCCTCTTATTTCATAAAATGCTGGGCCATTTTGCTGAATTTTTCAAAATAAAATTCAGCCTCAGGAAGAAAGCAAACTTGCAAAGCCATACCCCAAAGAGTTTAAATTCAAGAAAATACCGTATTTGCTTGCATGACCCCCCTCCCCACACATGCACCTTTTTCCCAAAAAGTAACTCCGCAAAACTGTGCTGTGTGTCTTAAGTGGGCCAGCTTATTTCTGCCCTGGAATTGAAACTTAGGGACATTGCAATGGCAGTATAGGAATGCTGTAATAGCAACTCAGGCTATCCTTCTTCCCAGTCACGGTGGGAAGAGTAGAGCAGCCAAAAGCTGCTGCAACTTCAGGAGTGGTCATGAGAAGGTTAAAAGTTTAGCTGTTGCCTGAGTGGCAGCGTTTAGGATTCAGTCATGGACCCAGAAGCCCTTGCAGTCAGGATTCAGCTGTGATTATGAAAAAGATTTTTTCTTCATTCTGATTTCCCAAAGCAAAGCACACGTCTTATGTGGGGGTCATAGAATATGTGAGAAAATAGTGATATAACGCTGACAACAGGTTCACAGTCTAGTGCCAGGTAATGTCAAATAAAGCTGATGCTATCCACTCTGCTAACAACAGACCCACCCCATTTAATGTTGTATTGCAATTTAATAAAGTGTTAGCTTACCTGATCAGAAAATGATGTAGTCCAACATCAAAACTTCTGTAAGAGAAAACATTCAACATACTTTAAGTGGTCCAATACTTTACTAAGGAACATTATAAAAACACTCTACTAATAATCAAATATAGTTTAAGTTCTTAACTACAATGCCATTAGTTCTAGATAATACGGCAATGCTATAAACACCTGGCATTTTCTTAATATAGGTAAGAAAGAACATCACATACAATCTCAATTAATGTATGCAACAGGATACATGAAATAACAGATAATCATCAGGGCTGAATACAGACACTCAAAAAGTCCAGAGGTTTCATCAAGTCGATCTTCACCAGTTAGTCTAAGCTACATAGATTGAATCAATAAGCCAGTGAACACACATTCACTTTTGATTCTGGAAATGCAGCCACATGCCTGCAGTGGCCCAGGCCAAAGGCCGGGGAGGGGGGTTGCTAGAGTATGCCTCCCTGCTCAGCTGGAACAGGCAGTTTGGGCCAAGGTTGACCTGCCCACCCTGCGAGGGGGTAGTTGTAGGGGAGGTGCAAAGTATCCTGGGGGACTATGAGTTAACTTGAATCTGGAAGGGATCTGGGACAGAAGTTCCACAGACTGCTTTAACCTAAATCAGTTAAGTCTGATACTACATCCATCCAGGTTTATCTTAAACTGATTTTGGTCATTTTGAAAGCAGTTTATGTGCACTGAACTTGTATTGTGTTTCATATTTGAACTAGTTTCAGATCATTTATACTGGTTTATGTGTAATTTCTGTCCCTAGCCCAGAACACAAATATAAATTCAGATAAGATCCAAGTAAAAAAATGTCCTTGTCCTCAGGGTCTGTTAAATAAGTTGATGCCACTGGCTTCTGTAATTTACTGAAAGTATAAACCTTAGTCTATAAATCCTGTCACTGACATTTGTTTTGTAGCATTTCCCTGACTATAGGTCCTCAGGCCTCAGAGAGAAGAGCTACAGAAGACCATTGTAGAGCTCACCATGATCCCCTCTCCTGTTCCACTAGAATTGCCCTGTGCCAGTCTATCTATGCAAAACTGCCAAACTGAAAAAGGAGAATGAGCCACGAACCTCTGCCTGCATTTGAGATTCCTTGGGCAATGGTAAATACTCTATGTGATGACCTCTCTGACCTCACCCCTCAAAGCCTTGGGTGCATAGAGCAGGGGTGTCAAACTCATCAAATCATACATTCAGTGGGTCATCACAAGCAATAGTGATGAATGGGCCAGATGAGTAGTGCAGGCTCAGCCCACAGGCCAGATCAGGCCCACTGCCTCCCTACCCATGTGAGTGATCCAGCACATGTGCACCCCCCCAGGCAGGCCTGGGACACTGGCCCCAGATACTGCCATGTGAGGAACAGCCCTGGACCAGCTCCAATGAGCAGGCAGTGCAGCTCAGGACCCAGTCCCAGTGAGTACCACTTGTGGTGCAGGGCCAGTCCAGCACAGCAATGGGCACATCTACATAAGGTGCTTTACTCAAAATTAGCACAGATTACTGCACGGTAAGCATCATGGTGTACATGTGCAGATGGTTATTACATGGTAATTCGCTCTAAGTATGAGTAAATGTGCTACCTGTAAAGACAAGTAGCAAATTTACTCCCAGTTAGTTACCGCACAGTATAGCATGTGTAGACAGCTGACCAGGAGCAAACTTGGTTCTGGTCAGCTGGGCAGCAGGGGGCTGGAGATTCCTCCCTGTCCCTGGGAGCTGCCTGCTGCCAGGGTGGGCTCTGCCATTGGAGCCCGGGTAGGGACAATGTCCCCCTAGTCCAGCAGCAGGGAGCTGCATGGGAAAGTCTGCATGTGCAACCTGGAAGTGGCTGGGGACTGTCCTGTTTTAGGCAGTCTCCAGCCAGTTCCAGGCTGCATGTGCAGACTTCCCCATGCAACCCCGGGCTGGCCAGGAGCTGTCCCGGTCAAGAGCAGATCCCAGCCCCATGCCCCAATCAGGTGATTGAGGCACGGGGCTTGGAAAGAGCTGCAGGGGGCTTGGAAAGAGCTGCAGGGGAGGGGCAGATCCCAGCCCTCCGCCCCAATCCAGCAGTGGGGCAGCTAGCAGCAAGCCCCCGGCTGGATTTTCCATCCAACTGGGGGCTCACTGCTAGCTGCCCCGCTGGCAGATGTGGCAGGGGGCTGGGACCTACCCCATCCCCTGCAGCTCTTTCCAAGCCTCCTGCCTCTGATCAAGGATCCAAGGCTGGGAGCTCCCTGCTGCTGAGGCAGGGGGATATTGTGGCAAAGCCTGCCTCAGCAGCAGGCCGTTCCAAGGAGTTCCTAGCCCCTGCCAGGTGACAGCTGGTTTTTGGTTTTGTGCTCCCTGCCAACCACTGGGCTAGCACCCCGGCGGAGCCTAAAGCTCCCCCTGGCTGCTGCAGGGGGATGGTGCAGGACCGGAGGGTGGGAGCAGCAAATCTGCTGCCATATCCCTGCATGTATAGATGCCTGCCCAGGGTGGGTTCCCAACCTGCAGCATTGCACGTGTAGACATGTCCAATGTGGGTTAACAGGGCAGCACCGGAAGCCAAATTATAGGGCTCCGCAGGCCAGATTTGGCCTGTAGGACATTATGTTTGACATCCCTGGTCTACAGCATATGCCAGGGACAAGTGTTCAGTACATATCTGGTAAGTGAAATAATCCTGGGGCACACTAGCAGCCATACAAGTCAAATCAGCACCAGAGACCACAGCAGACCCCAAAGGCTCCATGACTGAGGAAGTATAATGGTGGTCTAAAAGCCATCTCTGGTCCCCTGTTCAGATTCCCCTCTTTCCAAACTTACATTAGCCACTTCTGGGGAATTCAACCCACAAAGGAATCTATCAAACGGCAAGAAAATTATATTTTGCCAATTCCCTTATTCTCTTCATATGCTTTTCTACGGAAAGCAAGAGACCTGCAGTATCCTGCAATACATTCCCAGATGGGTCCTTTGTGTATAATGGCACAGCTGCAAAATAAATACAACAGTCTTATTACTGGTAATGAACTTACTTTGAAACAAGCTTGAAAGACTTCAATTCTTGAACATAAAATAATTGAAAGACTTTTGTTTAGCAAATATTAACTTGCTAAGCTATTTAACTTAGAAAGGCTGATTTCTCATGCTGAGCACTGTGTTTAAAGTTGTGTTACTACTGCTTGAGATGACCTACTGAATATATGATTTGATCAGGGAATGGACATTACAAGTGGCATCGTGAGCCAGGTCCATATTAAGTTTTAGAAACTACAAAGTTTAATTGAAAATTGAATTACTTTCCTCTCATTCACTGTAAAAAAGAAAATCAAATTCCCATTCCACATCATGTTTTATATCCCCACGCACATTCCTTTCATGAAAACAATCTCCAGCATACACTTATAAGACAACAATGATGTAAGACCATTTCAATTGTATTATACTGTTATATTTTCATATTTATCTGAGATTTGCCTCCTGCTCTCCTCTAAAACATCATCTTAGGAGAATACATTCACCTAATGTAATAGTACATAAAATTCATATTTATTTTTCTGAAAGCCTTTGCAGATAGGTCCAAAAAAGTATTTGCATTGGAGTTCAAGGGAGAGAAGATACTGTATCTGAAGGAAATAGATTGGTGAGAGAGCCACCGACATGAGGCCCCTGTAACAAAGGCCCATCCCAGGGGTGGCCATGACACCCCCTGGTGGCTACTCAGCTCTTGCTTTACCCTGATCCTTCCCTTCTGTTCACCTGCCATGCCTTGATGTGCTTATACCTTTAAGGAAAAGGAGGCTGCCTCAAGGATCCCCAAGCGAGTTTTCAACTTCGTTCTAAGTCTGGGTCTAAGTCTGTTCTGGTTCTGGCCTCAAGAACCAGAAGTTTTCAACTTCGTTCTATCTCCAGGGTCTAAGTCTGTTCTGGTTCTGGCCTCAAGCCCACTCCTGGCTCCCATCTCCACACTATTCCTCGGTACTTAGTCCTTCCTGGTCCCGCTCTGGTCCCATTTCTGTTCTACTCTCAGGTACTTGGACCCATGCTGGTCCTTTCTCTTTCTCAAGGGGGCTTGGCTTATCTATTGCAAGCCAAGCCCCCTTCTGGGTCATGTGGCTCCTGATTGTCCCCTGCCAAACCTGCCATCTGCTACATCTGCAGCCTGCCTGTTCTTAAAGCAGCAGGAGCACCAAGCCTCCTGCTACAGCTACCCATTCAAATACAGCCTAGGTTTCTAGTAAGCAAAGCTCTTATCAGCTAGCAACTGTTGGTGTTCCTAAGTGAAAAGAACTGTGATGTTAGCCCGGTTACCTTTGAAGAGGATATATATCATAACTCTACCATAATGTTTCTGGTTCCAGAGGACAAGGACCAGAATAGATATAGAGACTGCACTGCCCTCCTAACCTTAGGAGGGTGCTGTGATCCAATTCAGAACGAAGTTGAAGCACATTAGACGGGAGGGGCCTGAAGAACACACTTGGTAAGTCTACCCTTGACTTGTGCTGAACCTGTTCTATGGATAAACTGAAGTGCCTAGCTTCCAATGCTCCCAAGGCAAAATCTTTCACAATACAGTGTGTATGGTGTTTAAAAGAGAAAAGACAACACAACTATTTTGTATAGTTCCTTCACATTAGGAGTGTTTACAGATTTCATAGAATACTTGTGTAGTTACAATTAAAAGTGGAAGTGGAGATAAATGGGATTTATTAGAGCAACTGGAAAAGAAGAAAAGGTAAAGAGGTAGAGCTCTTATCTGGTATAAATCAGCATAAATCCACCTACCTCCTGACCTCAATTTTGATTTCCTTTTACTGGTGTAATTCCACTGTCTATAGAGAATTCTAACTTTACTGTGTAAAGCAGAAGCAATCAGTAATCTGGTATAGCCAACAGCATTACAGCAGTATAAGTGAGATCAGAATATGGGCCAAGATCTGTAAGACACTGTAGGCTGGTAAAATTCAGTGGTTTTAAAAGCAATGACAACAGTTTCATATAGGGTTTAGAACTGGCTAGGAAAAAATCACTAGCACAACTTAGAACAG